GGCCACCCCAGCTCTTCCCAGCCCTCTGAGACGGTCATTCGTCTCACATCCCCTCCCAGCAGCTCACATAGACAATCACAGGAAGACCGTGTGCTGAGGACCTACTGTGCGCTGGCCGCGCTCCTAAGCCCGCTGGCTTCATCACTGTGCCCCTGTTTGTATAGAGGACAAAACTGAAACTCAGATGCAAATTATTTTATCTGAAGTCACACAGCCAGGGCTCAAATCAAAATCTGACTCCGAAGCCCTTGTTGTACCTGGAGCAGACCACAGCCCTTCTTTCTGAGTCGGGGGCTTGGTGTGAGATGTGGGTGCTGAGGTCATCTGTGGCGACAAGGCCCAGGAAGTCTGCAATCCCACCTCTGCACAGCTGGCCCTCTCTGGGGGGTGAATGGAGAATAAGAAACTGCTTTGTATCATCAGCTAGACCAGTCCCCAAAACGCTAATGGGATTGGGAGTTCTGGCAAGTCAGGCTGGCTCACATGACCTAGAACCAGAGGCTGGGGAAGCCTGCTCCCTACCTGAGGCCATTCACAAGTGCCAGGAGCTTATGCTCTCTGGACAGACAGACACCCATGCAGGAGACCACAGATGAGTGTATCTCGAGCTGGCAGGGAAAGAGAACAGAAAGTCAGATGCCCACCTTTTCCTTCTTTGCAAAAGTGGGCCCTGGCCCAGCCGAAGACTTCAGCTCTGGGAGAGACACAGAAGCAGAAAAAGCCGTGCAGCACTGCTCGTTAATGAACAGCCCAGAGTATTCCTGAATCGGTCACCATCAGATGTTTCCTCCAAACAGGGAAGAAGCAGGGGAGGTGCGGGGAGGGGGACACACACCCACTTCTCCAAAGTGTTTGAAAATTCCACAGTCCTTCTATTTCTTTCTTCTCCCCCGACCCTCTCACCTCCGCATGAAGAAATAAAAAGCACAGGTAAAGGAAACTCCAGAGGTAAACATAAAAGACAGTGTACATGTATTATTGTTTGCAACTCTATTTCTCCCCTGATATAAAAGGCCACTGCATAGAGCAAGAATTGTATATTGGTGCCAGTGGTCATAAAATAAAGATGTAATTTGTATGACAATAATGGCACAAAGGAGGGGAGAAGGAATGGAGCACAATTTCTTTTGTATCCTACTGAAGTTATTATTCATCAGAACTAGACTGTTATAAATTAAGATGTCAATTCTAATCACTGGGGCAGCACTAAGAATACTAAAAAATATATAGCAAAAGAAACAGGAGAATTAAAATGGCACACTAGAAAGGTAGTAATGGAGGAACTAGAGGAACAAAAAAGACAAGACACAGAGATAAGTAGTAAAATGGCAGATGTAAACCTACCTTACCAGCAAACACATTAGATGTAAACGGGTTAAATACTCTAATCAAAAGGCAAAATGGGGCAAAAACCTGATCCAATTTTATGTTGCCTACAAGCAACACACTTGTCATTAAAAGCCACAGATAGATTGTAAGTAAAAGGATGAAAAAGATACAACATGCCAATAGTAACTAAAAAGAGCTGGAGTGGCTATACTAATATCAGACAAAATAAACTTGAGGTCAAAAATTGTCGTGACAATTTTTAAACGTTAGAAAATGGTATTCTAGTGACAATGAATACCATTTTATAAAGGCAAAAAGGGTCAATCAATCAAGAAAACATAAGAATTATAAAAATTTATGCAACTCACAACAGAGCCCCAAAATATCAATATATGAAACAAAAACTGACAGAAATGAAGGGAGAAATAATTTAACAATAATAGTTGGAGACTTCACTCCCCCACTTCCAATAGTGAATAGAACAATTGGTCAGAATATCAACAAAGAAACAGAGGATTTGAACCACACTGTAAACCAATAAGACCTAATGGACATCTACAGACCACTCCACCCAACAACAGAGTATACATTCTTCTCAAGGCCCATGCAACATTCCCTAGGATAGGCCATATGTTGGATCATACAGATCTCAATACATTTAAAAGGAATTAAATCATACAAAGTAAGTTCTCCAACTACAATGAAATGAAGTGAGAAATCAACAACAAATACGTGAAAATTTAACAACAGACTGCTAAAAGCCAATGGGTCAAAGAAAAAAAATCACAAGGGAAATTAGAAAACACCTTAAGATTAATTAAAATAGAAAGACAACATACTAGCACTGATGGGATGCATCTGAAGCAGGGCTCAGAGAAATTAATAGCTCTAAACACCTATATTGAAAAGAAAAACGATCTCAAATCAATAACCAAAACTTCCACCTTAAGAAACTAGAAACAGAAGATCAAATTAAACCCAAAACAAGCAGAAGGAAGGAAATATTAAAGATGACAGTGGAAATTAATAGGGAATAGAAAAACAATAGAGAAAAATCAATCAAACCAAAAGTTGATTCCTTGAAAAGATCACTGAGGATAAGGCTTCAGCGAGAGTAAGAAAAAAAGGGAGGAGATTCAAATTACGACAATCAGGAATGAAAGGGGGCACATTACCAGTGATGTTACAGAAATGAAGGATTACAAAGCAGTACTAAGAACAACTGCACACCAACCAATTAGATAACCTAGATGAAATGGACAAACTCCTAGAAAAACACAAACTACCAAAACTGACTCAAGAAGAAATATAAGATCTGAATAGATTGACAAGTAAACAGATTGAATTAGTAGTCAAAAAAACTTCCTGCAAAGAAAAGCTCATGATCAGATGGCTTCACTGGTGACTTTTACCAAATGTCAAAAGAAGGATTAACTGTAACCCTGCACAAACCCTTCCAAAAAATAGGAGAGGAGGGAACATTTTCCAATTCACTCTATGAGGCTAGTATTACCAAAACCAGACAAGGACACCAGAAGACAAGATGACTACAGATCAGTATTTCTTATGAATAGAAACAAAATCCTCAACGAAATATTAGCAAAGCAAATCCAGCAGCATAGAAAAAGATGACATACCATGAACAGGTGTGATTACATACCATGAACAGGTGTGATTACATACCATGAACATGTGTGATTACATACCATGAACATATGTGATTTATCCCAAGAATACAAGGTTGGTTCAACATATGCAAATCTATCAGCGTAACACCATATTAATAGAATAAGGGACAAAAGTCACGTGATCAGCTCAATAGAGCAAAAAAAGCATTTGACAAAATCTAACACCCTTTCATGAAAGAAAAAAGCCACACTCAACAAAGTAGGAACAGAAGGGATTTTCCTCAACCTGATCAAGGGTGTCTATGAAAAACCCACAGCTAGCATCATACTTAATGTTAGAAGACTGAAGGCTTCCCCCTAAGATCAGGAACAAAACAAGGATGTCCACTCTCATCACTTCTATTCGACATGGTACCAGTCAGTACAGCCAGTGCAACCAGGCAAGAAAAGGAAATAAAAGGCATCCAGGTTGGAAAAGAATAACTACCTCTATTTGCAGATAGCATGCTCTTAGATATAGAAAATACTAAAAAAAAAAATTCACAGAAACCTATTAGAACTAATAAATGAATTCAGCTAGGTTGCAGGATATAAGATCAGTATACAAAAATCAATTGTATTTCTATACACTAGCAATGAACAATCAAAAAATAAATTTAAGAAAACAATTTGATTTACAATACATCACAAAGAATAAAATACTTAATAAATTTAACAAAAAAGTGCAAAACTGGTGCACTGAAAACTATAAAACATTATTGAAAGAAATTTAAAACATTCAAAAAATTGGCAAGCTATCCATGCTCTTGAATTGGAAGGCAATACTGTTAAAATGGCAATACTTCCCAAATTGGCCTACAGAGACAGCACAATCCCTATTGAAATCCCAGCTGCTTTTTGGTTTTTTTTTTTGCAGACATGGACAAGCTGATTCTAAAATACGGAAATTCAAGGGACCCAGAAGAGCTGAAACAATCTTGATAAAGAAGAACAAAGTTGGAAGAATCACACTTCCCAATTGCAAAACTCACCGTAAAGCTGTAGCAATAAAGATCGTGTGACACCAGCATACAAATCAGTGGAATAGAATTGAAAGTCCAGAAATAAACCCTTAGGTGTATGGTCAGTTAGTTCTTTACAAGGGTCCCAGGGCAATTCAATGGGGGAAAGAATAGTCTTTTCAACAGATGATTCCCGTCTGTGTGGAGCCATCAGGGAAGGCTTCCTGGAGGAGGGGATCAGAAGGAGGAACAGAGCAGGAAAAGCACTGGGCAGCAGGAACTGCCTCGCGTTGTCTGCACACCCTATTAAGATCCCGTGGCCCTGGAGGGTGCGGAGGGCGGGGTTATACCTACGGTTACACAGGAAGAGACTGGGGTGAGAAGTTAAGCCACAAGACTGCCTTCCCAGAGCTGGAAAGAGCTAGAGCTGGGATGTGAGCTGCCTCCGCTCCTCTGCCCTAAGGGGGCCCCTCCCTCTTTCCACTTCCCCACAGCTGCCCAGATGAGGCTGCACAAAATGCACATGTCCGTTTCCATTGTCCCACTTCAGGGATGGCAGGCAGGCAAAGACTTCTTGAATCTCTGACTTCCCCTTAATATTTTGCCTTAATTAGCTTGTTCTAAGGTGATGGCTTTCTGTTGTGTGCTTTTGAACTTCAGCGAATTAACACTTGTGAATAGGATTTGCTTATGAATTTTAATGACTTTCATTCATTCATAGTCCAAACAAATTACATATTTGGTGCTTTATTTAATATGTTTATTGCAATTTTATGATAGTCATTTGCAATGAAACAACATAAAATATTAATTTAAAGAGGCAATCGCGGGGACTTCCCTGGTGACACAGTGGTTAAGAATCCACCTGCCAATGCAGGGGACACGGGTTCGAGTCCTGGTCCGGGAAGATTCCACATGCTGCGGAGCAACTAAGCCCGTGCGCCACAACTGCTGAGCCTGTGCTCTAGGGCCCATGTGCTGCAACTACTGAAGCCCATGTGCCTAGAGCCCATGCTCCACAACAAGAGAAGCCTGTGCACCGCAACGAAGAACAGCCCCCGCTCGCCGCAACTAGAGAAAGCCCCCGCATAGCATCAAAGACCCAGTGCAACCCAAAAAAATCCAACATGGGTCTTAAAGATCATCAGATTTTTATGTAGAAACAGATCACATGCAAGTTTCTAACAAGAAACTACTAACAAATGAAATTGAGCATACGCCTCTCCGGGATCCACCACCCTCCAGGCCCTGTACATCGTGTAGCTCAGACCCAAGTGCCCAACGGTGGTTGTACGGTTAAAACAACCCCTTCATCTTCCATCATTTCAGGTGCCCTCAGCACCTGGCCTGGTGCCAGAGGCAGAAAATAGGAGGAGGACAAGGGGCTCGTCGCTGAGCAGGGAAAGCAGCTGGTGGGACTCCCCACAGCAGCCTGCTCAGATCTGGGTTGCGATAGAGGGGGGCCCTGTATGCAGTCTAGAGCATCAGGGAAGGCTTCCTGGAGGAGGTGAGATGAGTCTTAAAAGAGACAAAGTTGGCATGGACAGTTGGCCCAGAATCGTTTCCAAGGAGTGAAGATTAAAGATCACATCATCCAACTTGCTGATTTTAGAAATAAGGAAACAAGCTGAGAGGGGGAGTGAGTTCAAGGTCATGTGGCCTAATAAGGGTAAGATCAGGCAGGAAGGGTAGGACACACCGTGGTAACAAGAGTCCCTAAATACTGGCAGCTGAACCCCACAGAAGTTCACCCCTCACTTGTGCCCTCCCGCAGCGTGGGTGTCAGTGGGAGGCACTCTGTGGTCACTCAGGGACGCAGCCAGCGAGGCACCATCTCCACCCGGCTTCCGTCACCACGAGAGGCGAACTATGAACTGGCCCCTGAAGCTCCCTCCAGGAGGTGACCCGCCCCGTGGCCACTCCTGTCTCCTTGGCCAGAGCAAAGCACGTGGCCACACTTCTCGTGGAAGGTGGTGGGAGGTGTCCCAGCGTGGCCTGTGGGTCGGGGGCCAGAACCGCCCAGTGAGCAGTGGTGACGAAAGCTGGGCCGAGGACCCCAGGCCCCCGGTCCCCTCCCTGCCCACGGCTGGGTCCTCTGCACACAGACACACACAGCGGCGGGCACTCCGGCCTCAGTGTCAAGCTCACACTTCAGTTTTCCTGCGGGGTTAAGCTCGGATGCAGAGGCCAAGGTCTGGAGAGAACTTCCCGGCACACGGAAGCATCCCACCCTCCCAGAAAACAAGGGCAGACCACGTGGAGGCTCACTTACTATCGCAGACTGATGTCAAACCGCTGGGTGGGCAGAGGGCGCCGCGGCAGGGCCGTCTTTGTGGGAGGGGGCAGCCTGCCCGCGTGCAGGTTCCGAAGCTCCTCGTCGTATCTGTGGACACAGAGGAAGCACAGCTGTCACCCTGCAGGCGAGAAGCCTCGGGCCACAAGGGGCTGGCTCCAGGTGCTGTTGGGGGCAGATGCCCCACAAAGGTCTGCAGGACACCTGAGCGTTCCGATCTTCTGGGCCCACGTGCCTTACGGCTGTCTTGCACATGCACACACAGGAACACACACAAGCCAGCAAGGGTCATCCGACCTCTGTCAAATGTCCAGGCTCTCCTACCAGCCCCTGGCCAATACTTCACCCACGTGTCTACACAAGAGCTTCTCTCTGCAGGAAACACCTCTCCCTGGACTCTCGATGTAGCCAACAGTCCCTCTGAAACTCACTTCAGAAGTCACCTCCTCATGGAAGCCTTCCCTGACATCCCCTCTTCACCGGTCCCCTCCCTAGCTGGGTTCAGCCCTTCTTTCGGCTCCTACTGTCACCGACTCGTGGCCCCACTCCCTGCGAGTGTCCTGTGGGCAGACACTCCCTACACGGCTCTAATATCCCCAGCGCCTGTGACTTGGCACCCAGAGGGAGCGCGACATCTCCACTCCCCCTGCGGGGCTGCCGGCCTCACCTGCGTGCAGCTTGGCGAGGACCCTGCACCCTCTCTGGGGGCTCCATTGAGCCCCCAGAGAGGGTGATGCAAAGGGCAGAGGGTGCTCAGGCAGGGCTCAGAGACTGAGCTCCACCCGGAGCTAACGGTGGGTCGGGGACCGACCACACACCTTCCTGGGCTCCCTCCGCCCACCTGACGCCCTGTCCAAGTGGGGGACCACTGCTGTATAAAACAAAGCAGCAGACACGTTAACTAGGCTTCTAGCCGGAAGCACCAGGTGGGCTGTCCTCCAGAACACCTGCAGTGGGCCTGGGAACATTTCATGCTGTCCACGGTGCCATCCACACACCCGAGAAATCGCCCCCGTTCTCTGCTCCAAAGCAAGAACGGCAAACGCCAAGGCAGCGAACAGCAGTTGCCACCGTGGCTGACTTTTTTCGTTAAGCAGTTTTGCAGTGGTGGGTGAGGAGCACATCTCATCCGTGTACACAGCCATCCTCAGCCTCGCTGCTCTGAGTCAGCAGTTAGCATCTTTTACTGTGAATCTTTGTTGAGGCCGCAGATTTCGGAACCAGATCTGGCCGGGCACACGTCTGAAAATTAAGCCTTCAGCGTTACCGGGATGGGACGGAGGCCCAAGGAAGCTCGAGGGCATAGCCCACGCCTCCCAGGACAGGATCTCACTCACTGCAGAACCTCCGGGGGGACGGTCAGCTGGTCGTATTTGAGGTGTTCACGGAGCTCACTCAGATAGTTGAAATAGGTGACCTTCTCCCCAAACTTGTGACTAGAAACAACAGAAGCAAGAGAATAAAGAAAATGATTAGATGACGGGGCCCGGGGGGAGGGGCTGGCAGCAGGAGCCCTGGAAGAACAGCGCTGGCGTTTCTCATATTAAGGAAACATAAATGCTGACACAACCTAAACCCAGAACATAATGGAAGCAGCGCACGTCTGCAGATGTTCCGCTTTCATAAGAGCTCGGATGCATCAAACACGCTTGAGAATCTCATCTGCATAAAGATAAATATTTGTCTCCAGTCTGAATGGCCGTGAATTCGTACAGATGTAGGAGAGCACAGAGCCAGGAAGCCCTGTGCCCACGGCTCCCGGAGGGCGCGCACAGGGCATCGCGGGGCCCGGTTTCTGGGGTCGGCAGTGGCTTCACTTTTGAACATCTCTCTGCGAGTCACATCTTCCTGACTGTGGGGACCAAGCAAGACACCCTCTGATTTCTCTCCAGGACGGTCACCCTGGGCAAGTCCTGGCCGAATTCACTCACATCCCCTTGAAAGCAGGGGTTCTCCTACACAAGTAGTGAGGCTATTTACATACACTTGTCCACTGCCTGACACCTGGTAGACATCACGACCCGGCACGATGACTAGTAAGGAGCCTCAGGTTACCCAGCTGAAAAGTGGGGAGAAGAACAGGAGGCTCAGCTGGGTGAGAAGTTCGACGCCAGGCCCAGCCTGCGCCTCGTAAACGGCCGCCCCCTGACTGCTCCGCCGTTTACAGCTTCACTGACATGTCACTGACACGCACGCAGCTGGATATATGTCATGTGCACCATTCGATGAGTTTGGACATGTGCGTACACTGCGATACCATCACCACAACCAGGTAACAGGCGCAACCACAGCCTCTAAAGGTTTCCTTGTGCCCCTTCATGTGCAATGCTGTATGTGCATGCGTGTGTGTGTGTGTGTATGTGATAAGAACACGACACGAGATGCACCCTCTCCAGGACACCTCAAGTGTGTGACGCATCGTCAGCCCAGGCTCTCTGCTGTCCTGCAGATTCTCTAGAACCTCCTCACCTTGCATAACCAAAACAGCTGTCTTATCTCAGACCCGCTGGAGCCCAGAGCCCACGGGAGGCCGAACCACGGGCACTGGCTCCCCCTAGTGCAGGAGGGGGAGTCAGACCAGGTGCCCAGGCCCCTAGCCCCCAGCCCTGACAGAGGGGGCCTGGCATGAGCCGGCTGCGGGGACACAGGTGTCGGCTTTAGAGCTGCAGGGAAGCCCCTCGTGCAAACTCCCGCCCACACAGGAGCCCCCTTCAGCTTTCTCTCTGCGTTTCTGCCTGTTCCCCCTCCGACCCCAAACCGACCAGGCATCTGTTGGACACCAGGTTCTGCAGATGCAGGCGGGGCCGCCTTCCTGCCTCTCACACCCAGAGAAGGGCCTCTTCGCAGCCCATCTAGGCGCTCGGGTGGACGAGCACCCCCAGAACTGCTCGAGGAGAAGACCCCAGCAGCCCCCGCCGCCTGCCAGCATTCGGCCGCCTGCACGGCCGGGACGACACAGTGGGACCTTTTGCTTTGCTCAAAAGGATGTTAGCGTCTCCTTAGCTGGTTTGGTTTCTAAACAACCTCAGAGTACCCTCCACCCAAAGCACTGACTATGTGACCTGCAGGCCCTCGCACGTATTTACCCATTTATTTAATCCTCACAACAAGCCCATGAGACAGGTACTAACATGCCCATTTTACAGAGGAGTCAGCTGAGGCTGGCAGAGGAGAACCAGTAAGGGGCAGAGCCTGGCTCCGGAGTTCACCCTCTGACCCGCACTGTCCTGTCCTCAGAAAGCCACGTACCCCCAGCGATCATCAGCTTCGATGTAAGAATGATGCGAAGCTGACCTCACGCAGTACGTGGTTTGTGTTCAGCAATGTGGAAGCAACTTCAATGCCCAGACTCACCCGGGCACAGGTCCTTGGGACCAAGCCCTCAGGGACAATTCACTGAGCCCATCCTTCCCCAGACGGAACCCAGATGGAGATCTCTGACTTCACACAGAGAGTCCTTGAGCCGTTGAGAATGCCTCCTCGTTCCTGAAAGGATGGCCGCTCTTGCATTTCTCAACTTTTTCAAGAAAGGAGAAACAGGAAGATGTGGTTGCCCGGCTCCCTGATCCACACTGGACACTTGTGGTAAAAGCAGGCACCTCTCTCCTGCCCCCGGGTTCTGCCCACAACGTGCCGAGTTCTTCTTGGGATCTCGACATGTCTGCGTGCGTGCTCAGTGTAGGAAGTCATGAACCAAATCACTGGTTGAGCTTCAAGGACAAGGACTGATTTCTTTACCCATCTCAGAAGTAGGAGCGCACATCTGGCCACAGGACAGCCACCCGCTTGGATGGGGCGAGGGAGGATGATGTCCATGGTGTCGCTTTTTCCCTGAAAAGCCATGAAAAAGACTAAGCATTAGGGCTCATCCTATCATGGCCGAGAAGCCCATAGAGCACCTCTGAGTCAAGTACAAACAGGAGCTCCTTCCTCCAGGCAGACGCCTTCCAGCGCTAGGTGAGAAGAGACCCGCTTGATAGTAGCCCTTCATGTCAATGCCCTTGGGCAGTGAACAACCTACACAACTGTTCACGGCGGCCATGCTTACCACTTCCATCTGGTGGTGAAGGTTTCTGAGGCAGGTGCCTGGAAAGAGCACAATGTATCAGTTGTTGTCAGAGGTACTTTATTTGGATTGAGGTGAAATTCTTAGCATTAACCGTCTTAAAGCGAACAATTCAGTGACATTTAGTACATTCACAACATTGTGAGATCATGGCCTCCATCCGGTTCCAAAACCTTCTCACTGCTCCGAAGAAAGCCCATACCCATTAGGCAATCATTCCTCCTTCCCTGCCCCGCCACTGCCAGGAACCCCACCTGCTTTCTGTCTGTCGGGGGTACTTCTGTCTTTACCAGAAAACAAATCCTCAACTCATCCCTGGCCCAGCAGCGGTACCCTCGGTGAGAGTTGACCCACAGGTCATGGATTATTTGATGTCGCAAAAGGAATAATCTGGCAATGGAACGTGCCCAATCTCAGAGGACCGCAGGAGACGAATTCTCCGGGATCGGGCATCCTCTGTCCTGTGTGCTCCGTAAACACACAGTGGGCTGAGAGCAGTGTCAGCTGCTCAGGAGGACGGGGTGGGGAGCGCCTCCTGGGAGGGCAGCTCACCGGCCGGGGTAACGGGCTGCCTGGGATTCTGGCTCGCCTCGCGAATTCCGCGGCCAAGCCCATCACGCGGCAGCAGTGGTAGCTAAAGACCCTCTAGGCATCCGCTACCAGCAAGGCTCTTGCTGTCGCCATTCTATCTTCAGCATCTCTTGGAAGATTCTTTAACGAACTAGGTTGGATGGCTGGGTCAGGGGTATTCTCATGAAACAAGCAGCCCAAAGGCTTCCAGATGCTCCTATGATCCAACTGTGTCTTTGTTCGCTTTGAGCCGCGGGCCCCAGGCCACGGCCGCTGGGCACCACGCTGTGGGTGGACAAACGGGGCTTCCACGGTCGAGGGGGAAGCGGGTCTGGAAGCAGCCCTGGCAGAGCCCCCGGCGCTGTGGCCCCCGAGCCGGCCCAGCAGCAGGCGAGTCTGCCCCCGGCCAGCCTTTCCTCCTCTCTGTCCCCCACAAGGGGACGCAAACATTTCCAGGGATGCCCAGACATGGGCCAGGGTTAGGCTGCTTGAGTGAAATGCAATCGGCACGTTGTCAGGGACCACAGTCCGAGGCCCGGAGCACCCACACGAGCCCCACGGGCGCAAGAATGTCCCAAACGTGGGACGCAAGTCACACGGGCGCCTGGCCTCTGCAGGTAGCCTGAGAGAGGACTCGACCCCCAGCAAGAGCTGCTGGGCAGGAGGGCACTTCGCTTGGTTTCAAGCAGCCTTGGTGGCGCTGGACCAGGAGCTGCCCTCCTTCCCGGGCCAAGCTTGTCACCAGACCTGAGGCTGCCTGCTCACCCGGCTGACTCTGGGCTGCAGTCGGGACTTTGGCAGCTCTCAGGACACCCGAGGGACCCGGCCAGGAAGGAGGCCCCGGGAGCAGCGTGGCCGCACAGAGCGCGCAGCCCCAGCAGAGAGGGGCAGGATGGGGGAGGGTTGAGGGCAGCTGAGGCCACGGCAGGTGAGTGGGGGGCGCTGCCTTCTGAGTGGCAGGAAATGAGGCGAGTGCAGAGGGCGGCCTGCGTGGCTTTAAGAGGGAGGCCGGCAGGGAGGGAGGGGGGAGACCTCAAAGGGCCCTGAGGGAGCTCCCTGGCGGCCTAGTCGTTAAGGTGCCAGGCTTTCACTGCCGTGGCCAGGGATTCAACCCCTCGCTGGGGAACTGAGATCCCGCAAGCCTCATGGCAAGACCAAATAAATAAATTAATCAAAAAATAAAAGGGTCCTGAGTCCAGAGTTCAAGTCTGTGGACCTAAAGCCACCCGAGGCGGGGGGAAGACATCAGTCCTGCGGGTGGGATTGGTGACCTGGCACTGACGTGACATCCACCTGAGGACCTGTCAGTCTGTCCGTTAGCCGTTGACCTGGCACATCCGCTCCGCGCTGAGAGTGACGGAGAGGCACCTGCACAGGGAGGGGGACACACACGGGAGTGGGGTGGGGAGGGCGGCCTACGGAGGGGGGTGTGCAAGGGGGGGCGTGGAGGTGGCACAGGGCAGACTGAGCCCAGCAGCCGCCTGTGGTTGAGCTCGCGAAGCGGGGGCGCATCCGGCAGCCACAGAGCATGATGACTCGGCTTCCGGGGCGGTCCTCCCCTGCGGGGCAGACAGCCTGGCCCCGGCACCGACACCCAAGGCTGCTGTCTCTTGCCACAGCTGGGGGCGATCCCAAAAACAGCAGCCTCTGGACCAGCCCACCTGAGCCAAGAGGCATGGGAGGCCGCGCTGAGGTGGTGGCAGCGCCTGCCGGACGGGCACCGACTACCTGACGCTCTGGGTACCTCAGCCAAGGTCACCTTCACCACCACGGGCATCCCCAGAGCACACGCTTGCTGCCCGTGCCTGTGGCTCGGACGGCGTCCAGCAATCATTTACTGATTGACGGGCGGACTGGTTATAGGAAGAGTGTCAGAACCTGCAGAAAATAGAAGGGTGCCCCTCCAGAAACGTACGCGATTCTGAACTCACTTTGACTCACAGGGGACAAGTATTTACAACTGTTCTCAGACACTCACTTAAAATGAGGAGAGAGACAGCAGAGCATCCTCATCACCGGCCGGCTCTGAAGGGCGAGTCAAGGTCACACACACGCGCACACACTCACACGTGCCCTCGGAGTCCCGCCTGCTGCCCGGCCAGGACAGCTGTTTGTTATTTATGCCACGTCGGCTTCTCCCGGGAGCCTGCAAGCCACTGGCACGTTCAGAATTTGCCAGTCGTTTCGGTTTCCAAAGACGGCGGCCTTTTCACAGGTTCTTTGAGAATTCTGGTCATGGTTTCTGTTTGTTTAGAAACATCCTGTTGAACCCACACATTTATGTGCTTCCCTTGCCAGATGGGCATTTTCGGGCACAAAAACCTTCGACGGCTAGGCCTGGGAAGTACAAAGTGTTTTCCAAACAGTGTTTCTACCAACTTGGAGGCCAGGGTTCCACGGCTCACCTGCGCCTGTGCTCGTCTGCGAGAGGGAAGGAAAAGGACGACTTTGCTTCTGAAGATATGAATTGTTTGTGCAGCTACTAAAGGAACATGGAATTGAATGACCCTGGGGCGAAAGGGAAGTCAGCATCCACGTCGAAATGTCAAAAACAAAATAATGAGGAGCACTTTTAGCACTGGAATCAGACCAAGTGGAGAGTCTCGGGGACGTGCTAAGTGGTTTGGTGAACGGAAGCCCAGCTCTGGAGCGAAAAGACCAGGTATGGCCCCTGCCTGGCCCCACGGTCCGGGGGAGAGGACAGGGACGGCATGCGGGGAGTGTCTGCCCAGCTCTGCGAGCCCCTCTCTGAGAACCAGCCAGGGCTCTATCAGCCACATCCACATCTGCAGGGACTTCACAGGTGGGGGCTGCCGTCCGCACCAGGCCGGCCCTCACTTCAGACACCAGCTATGTGTCGGGGGTCCCCAGGCCACCCCACTTCTGACCAGCTGCCTACAGACTCGGAGCTTCTCACTAACCCCCTCTCAACCGATAATTCATTGGCTCACAGAACTCGGGAAAGCGTTATACTTACAATTAGTTTTCTTATAAAGAATACAAATCAGGACCCGGCAAGAAGGGAGATGCACAGGGAGTCGGGTGGGGGGTCGGGGGTCCTGGCCATGGAACCTGTGTGCCCTCTCCCCATGCAGTCGGGACATCGACCACACACCATCACCACCAAACAGCTCCACTGAGCCGCCATGTCCAGCGCAACTGTTGGAGTTTCATTACATAGCCATGACTGGACGAATCACGGTCCAATCAATATGCATCCACCCATGCATCCACACGCCCAGCCAGCCAGCCAGACAGCCAGCCATCTATCCACATGTCCATCCATCCATCCGTCCATCCATCCATCCATCCATCCATCCAACCATCCATCCACACGTCCATCCATCCATCCACACGTCCATCCATCTATCCACACGTCCATCCATCCGTCCGTCCATCCATCCATCCATCCATCCATCCAACCATCCATCCACACGTCCATCCATCCATCCACACGTCCATCCATCCATCCACACGTCCATCCATCCATCTATCCACATGTCCATCCATCCATCCGTCTGTCCATCCATCCATCCACACGTCCATCCATCCATCTATCCACATGCCCATCCATCCATCCATCCGTCTGTCCATCCATCCATCCGTCCATCCATCCATCCATCCACACGTCCATCCATCTATCCACATCCATCCATCCATCCGTCCATCCATCCATCCATCCATCCATCCGTCCATCCATCCAACCATCCATCCACACGTCCATCCATCCATCCACACGTCCATCCATCCATCCACACGTCCATCCATCCATCTATCCACATGTCCATCCATCCATCCATCCGTCTGTCCATCCATCCATCCATCCACACGTCCATCCATCCATCTATCCACACGTCCATCCGTCCATCCATCCATGGGTACTGCTGATTAAATCATCGAGCTGCTTTACTGAGCTTGGTCTCCAGTGCCCCCGAGGCCACAAAGCCCAAACCCTCTAGTCACATGGGGGGGTCTCTCCCGCACAGAAGCCCCACCTGGAGTCGTCTCGTGAGCATAACTATCTAGGGGTCCTGCACGAGTCACCCCCTAACATAAACTATCACGAATCACTAAGATACTCCTATCACTTGGGAAATTCCAAGGATTGAGAGGCTACCTCCTGGGAACCGGGACAAAGGCCAGACACATTCTTTACTGCAGTGTCCCATGACCCTGCACCCCAGCCCACTGTCCG